TAACTACACCGTGTGATATATCCTGTAACGAGTCTCGATGAATCGGGGAAAATGTCACGTAATACGCAATAATCCACGACATAAATGGAAGATTGTTTTTTCTTGTCCCTTTTTTGATTTCGTCCGCGCTTAGACCATCTGCCACTGCCCGAAACGATTATTGCACACCGCCGCTCCGCGCCGTGAACGAGAATTTTTTCCATTTCCTTCAGGGTAAACATTATTTCGTACGACCGTGATGGCAATGTGTTGTCAACCGCACGTTTCCTCTTCTGCTTCTACTTTTTTCCTATTAGAAACTTTAATACGCGATCTGAATATCGCGTGCTACTCGGCAAAACACAGAACGAGCTATCGATGATCAAACCTGGAAGAATGTTCGCTCTGATACGCAATCACCTATCGGTATTTCTCGCGTTCGTGTTTACTGTTTATCCGAGAAAGCTTTTAACTTTTAGAGGAACGCTCGCAAGTGGAATCGATGGAGAGCAAATAACGAATTTGATTGATTGAAACCGAGGAAATAGAATTTGTTTATCTGTGTATAGTACAAGTACATCATTACGAGATTGATACCATCTTTGTACATTCTCTCGTTTGTTTCAATCTATTCAGTAAAACATCGACCGCAAACGTTACCCAAAAAATTAGCCAAAAATATGGGTTTACGTGGCCACATTTTTCATCCTTATATGAGAATATTTTTCGTATTTAACTTAATTGAGAGGCGTTAAGCATTAATAAGAAGTCGGTTACGTAAGTCCAAACTAATGGATACGGTGTACATTATTGCAGGACATTCGTTAGTTCGAATTCAACCACTGTTTTCCGCGCGGTTTGTTAAACCGGCACCAGAGTAGCAAATTAATTCACAGAGTTTTCGCTTTACAAAAGGCTACCACGAAATATTGAAACGTATGGAAATTAGAGAAATTAAACTCCCCTGATACGGGTGTCGCGATTTATGTATTACGTCGCTTCCATAATTTATACGTAACGCTAAACGAAATACCTAAAAACATTATAATGGTAATAATATAATTATTACATATGTACGTTTTACCTCTGTCTTATTTATTATATTCTTCGTGAATACTTATTATACGTAGATTAAAAATTATACGGAATGTATATTTTAATTTTAAAATGAAGGATAAGTTTGATTAACAATAAAAAATAATTACGTTTCATCCGGTATTTAATTCTATTTCGACGTGGACGGTTTCATATCTTGTGTTAACGGGAGCTGATGGAAACATCATGCACGTAACCGCAGAAGATACAATTTTATGTGTGTAATGGACAACGTATAGCTCCTATCGAATTGGACAGAACGATTTCCTGGTTATGCAACCATCAAATTGGTTAACCAGATCTAAACCTGTGGAGAAACGAGACGAAATTCTCGACCAACCTCGATTGCTTGCAAAACGTACGATTGACCACGGTTCTAATCTGTTTCCCCATCTGGAAGAACAGTCGTCCTAGAACCCCAATTAAGGTTGTACGGATCACAAGATTTCTAGTAATCTAGATTTCTAATAAGTAAATAAAATTAACATTTTTTTATACAGAGTTACTGCAAAATGCTACTTCTAGGTTCTACAAATAGATTTTAGTTACACGCATACGTACATATGTACATACATATGAGTACGGCGTAGATAACTCGTTTCATGGTTCGAAACGTTTCATGTATTTGAATCCTTTGCCTAGGCAATAAATTATGTGCATACATAATTTATGTTTAGGTTAGATTGTGATTAGATTATACATACATGAGGCTTATCCATTACTGTACGGTAAATGTGTTTCAACTCTGCCTTCCTGACGATTAAACATTTAATCCGCTTTAAAATTATTCTACTTCGAATGAATAATGGCTTTGATAGATTAATCAAATTTAGAGAGCAATTAAATTGTCTCCCATTTTTAATTTTTCTCCTTTGTTAAAATTT